TCATTTGAAGTAACTTTTTCCTTTGCGAAAATGCAATCTGCGGCTTTGTTTACAAGTTACTAACGGAAAACACTGACCAATGAGAGGTGACGGCGCGAAGTTCGAGAGCCCGCAGCACAAGGCTTTGACAGATGGTCGGGACGGACTCGAGCCGCGTTCGAAGTATTGAACAAATCACGAAGCGAGAACATTCCGGATTTTTTTTACTACGTAACAGTGATATTTTTAAGAAAAACGCTGTTCACCTTTACTTTAGAACATCTGAAGAATATTTACTAATTTTTCAGACCCGAAATAGTAAGTAATTTAAGCGTGACGGCCGTTTTAATTTTCTAGTGTGCATGACACGTTGTGCGTAACCTTGACATATCAAGGTTATCTCAAGGTCATGTCATGGATACGTCAAGGTTATGTCAAGGACATATCAAGGTTATGTCAAGGTCAACATATGAAAATTTTAAGCAAGGTGTACAGTGAAGATTAACAAAGTACGTAAATGATATTTTAATTTAAATAATTCCGTGTCTGAACAATAATCCTGTTAAAGAACGTAAGGATGTCCAAGTAGCGTCGTCCGTGGCAAAACGCTGAAACTGCTAACCAAATTACTGGCAGTCGATTCTGGCTAACAGTTTGAGCGTTTTGCCACTATGATTATTGGCGCTGTACGGACCTTTTAAATTTAGTTTCAAATTTCGCCACAAGTAGCGCCACCTGTCAAAAATGGCGCCATTTTTAAATTTTTCAAGATGAAAGAAATGAAAGAATTATTTGTTATTTAGTTTGTAAATGTTCCAACAATTGATATAAATTATTAATATGAATTATTAGGAAGTATTAACTTCTGTGTAGTGGAGAAATGATTGAGCCATTGCCGTGGATTTTCAAACTTACATTTATTTAAACAAATCAACATTGACCTCATATTTACGGGTTGTATACTGCATTTTGTAGCACAGGTAAATGCATCACTCTATTACGCAAGATTTATGTGTCCTGCAACGCGTGGCATCGTCCTTTTATTTGGGGATTGTTCGACGAAAATCATACAGATCGGGGACGGGGGAGACTGAGTATCGACAGTACTCTAATTGGGACTAGAGAAATTCGACTAGAAAAGAAAAATCGGCGGTTCGTCTTTGTCACGCGATAATGATTACAATGATAATAAATGGTGATAAGAATGATAATAATAAATAGTATGCAATAGCAATGATCGCGGTAATGTAATAATACTCGCTAATAATACTCGTGTTTACGGTATATAGTTCTCGCAATTGTAATAAACCAAACAATAATAGTAATAATAATAATAAAGATAATAATGACGACGTTAATAATAATAATAAAGATAATAATAATAATAATAATAATAGTAATAGTAATAATAATAATGATGATAATAATTCATAAATATGATAATGATAATAATTCATAAATATGATAATAATTCAATAGAAAGCTCAACGTAACAGTAATCAGGGACATAAATAACAGATTGATCACATTCGAATACAGTACACACTACGAACCATCGTGAGCTGGTTCATATCGTCGCTTCGCATCTTAATTCTTTATCTCTCCTCTCATTTTTTTTTTGTTGATTTAATGATTTTATCGTTATATACGTACTGATCACGGTCACTCGATCTCTCGATTATATGATACATGGAATGAGACTGCTAATTATTCAACACGAAGGCTCCTAAAATCATTCTCTTGTACCGCGAAACGAATTTTTCTCGGGATTAAAGTACTTATTAATTACATCGTCGGGTGTCTGTCTGTGTGTATGTGTGTTCTTTTTATTTGTTGGTGGCATGTATGTATGTATGTATGTATATATGTCTATACTCCATGAATGTATGTATTTCTGTATGCATGTACGAACGTGTATACAGCACGTGTATGTGTGTATGTATATATAATATATTCCTCTGTCCACGTTCCATCGTGTACGTGTACATGATCAGTGTATAACCCGGGTGTTTTATTTCTCATTAATTATATACTTTGGCTTCGTCTGTCCACTTTAAATCTCTTTCTCGCTCTTTCGATTCTCTCCGTTCTCTCCCTATCTTTCGCACACGCATGCACGCTCCCCTTTCTCTCTCGCACTCTCTCACTCTCCCCTCGTTCACTCATGTTTTCTTTTTTTTTTTTTTGTTAAACGCTAATGGCAGCACAGATACAATGTATTTTTTTCATTTTTCGTTTTTACAGCGTTTCGACGTGACCGAATCTGACCTCTCCTCGAATAGAAGCAAACGTGCATATTCGCGAATCACTTTTCCGTCTCTGGTCTCGGGTGAACGAGACGTGTCCCAGAGCCGGTCACGCAACCAATTCAAACGTGGTCACCAGCGTCGGCTATGTATAGTAATCTTCTTTTCTTTTTATACAGTGCGCGCGAACGACGCGCCGGAATCAATTATTACTGTACGCACTACGAAGGAAAGAACCTATAGTTATGTATTTAGCTATGTATACGCTGCTCTCACGTGTACGCTCGAGAAGAAACGAATCGCTACGCGGCGCGCTATTATAGTACATCCTTCCCCGATTTGGAACCGTAACCGCGGCTTCGATCCCTTTTCCCTTTGTTGCGCACGCCGCCAGTCCGGAAGCGAGCCGATCGCCACGACGTTCCCCGGCGTTTCGCCGATTATCCAGCGAACGAACGCAACCCCTTTCCGATCGGAACGAGGTCCGGTAAGGGTCCTATACGACCCGGAGCGTTTGCTTTTCCCGTTTCGCGAAGAAACGGACTCCCATCGATCGATCTCCCGTTCCGCGAAGAAACGGACTCCCATCGTTTGATCTCCCGTTCCTCGAAGAAAGGGACTCCCACGATTGATCTCCCGTTGTCCCTCGGCGTCGAGGACGCGGAACGAACGAACAGCAAACACCGGGACCGGAGGCGAGCGCAATCCGCGTGCACCGTCTCGATGGAGAACGCGTTCGTTTCTCGACGCGTCGACTGCCGCGTCCCCTAAACTTTCGAGAGAAATCGGCCACAGCTTCCCGACCACTTAGCACCCCTAAATTAGTTCGTCGTCGGACCGCGGATGTTCACGCCGATCTCCATCTTCGCAGGCTTCCAATGAAGCTTCGCGCAGAATTTCGTTGCAGAAACAACATTCGTTGAAAACGCACTGGATCCGCGGTCTTTTGGTCGCTCTCGCGTTTCAAATTCCGGAGACAGATCGTGATTGGATGCTTGTAAGGGGTCGCTCGTGCACTTTCACGGTTCGGAGATCGTGCGCACTATTGGAAAAATAGATGGTGCTATCACGGATCGATCGGGGACGCCGGTTTACGCGAATTCCGGACGGCCGTCGACGCGCGAACCGCGTACACGCGCGTCTGATCTCGAGAAACGTCGACCGAGGCCGGCTCGCGGGAGCCGTCCCGTGCAATCGGTAGCGAACTATAAACAATAAATGCAACAACAGCCTTTTTCTCGGTAAGTATTCGCGAGCTTATCGCTCGATTAACCGTTAAACGCTACGATAGAAACGAATTCGATGGAAAGAAGGGAGCTCCTACGTCTAAAACGATCCGAGTCGGACTGCGGGGGAGATATACATGCATTGCCACGTGTGCTCTGTCGCGTGTGTGGTTTTCTTATGTGTGTGTATATGTGTGTGGTTATGTCGTCTTTCTGTGTGTACGTGTCCATGTGACTAGAACGAGAGTGAACAAGTGTCGCTAGAAAGTTTCGGAGCCTTCGGGGGTAGGAGAAGTAAAATCGGTAGCTTTGCTATACTCGCTGGAACGATCTATGCTAGAATTAACCCTAAGTGTCGAACGAAGAAGAAAGTACATACGCGCGTTCTCTCCGTTCTTCTTTCTCGAGATCAAACGCAGCCGCCCCCCCCCCCGCCGCGGAAAGAAAGAAAGTCACAGACTGCTAGCCACGAAGATAGAAACTCGGCCAACTAATCGAATATATTGTATCCTTTCGAATCGCAACTAATGGAGCAATTAATCTCGTCAGCAGGCTGCCGCCCCTCCCCTTTCCCCCCCTTTTAAACGATACTTACAAGTATACTTAAAGCGAGAACATCGTGCACGCTATCGCAACGGTCAAATCAGGCGCGCGCGGTTAAATTCTTTTTAGACATGGTTCGACTTCAACGTCCACGCTTCTTTCATCTTCTATTATATACTACTCGTCTATCGTTTTTGTCCTCTTCTCGATCGGCTTAGCCGATCCCGTTCAATGCGACGCGCGCTTCGTTGAAAAAATTCGCAAGCACGAGGTCGCGCGGAACACGCCGAGGAAACGAAATCAACAATCTTTCACCCCGTGGCGCCTCTTCCACTTGTACCATCATTCTTCGTCTTTCTCTCTTGCACCCGCGATTCCCGCAAAAGCTCGTCGTCCATGTATTTCATCTCGTTTCGCTTAGATTCGCTACGCTTCTCTCAGCTTCATTCACTCGCACTCTCGCTCTCTCTCTCTCTCTCTCTCTCTCTCTCTCTCTCTCTCTTTCTGGCACGCAGTTTCGTTCTCACGATTCCTTTCTCGCTCTCTCACTCTTCCACGTTTCTCTTCTTTAGAAAATAATCTCTATCTCTCTGTGAGTTTTCTTCTCTTCCGCCTCTTCGTTCCTTTTTCTTTTTTTTGTAATTTTTCACTTATCGACGAACAAGAAGCAAATCCGGGGAAACGAAATGCACTCGAGGGTGACCAGTTCTTCGAACGGTTTTGAAAATACGTAACTGTTTGCAACTGTTATGCTAAGGCTTCGATAAAAAGACTGGGTAGAGAGAACCTTTCTTCGAATGGATTGTTACAGGGAACCGAGATTTTCGATTGTACATCACGAAGACGTTACGCGTTTGCGCGGATTTTACAGGGACATATATATTTTTTTCAACTTCTCTTTCTGAGAAGAAACTCCGAAGATGTTTATTCTGCGCGACGATTTGCAGCCCAGTCATTACTATCTGTTTAACCCTTTGGAGTCTATCGGGACATATGCGTTCCATCTATGTATTTCGTACGCCTATTGGGAGAAATAAATCCCGCTTTTCCGCAATACGCGAATATACCATTCTTAGAATGCATAACACGCACGCATTTGTTTACATGTAACCAATGGGACACATATGTCCCAGCCCTTAGCGTCTAAAAAGGACAACCTACACTAATGAAATCAACGTTTCTTGTTATTAGCATCTACGCGTACGTAAAACTTGACTTCGGATATAACGAAAATTAACGAAAAATAAATCAGACTGCAAAGGATTGCAGTCTGCTACTACTACTGCCAACGTTTCTACGAACTGGTGTACAACGGGAACGGTTCTCCGTGACAATCGTTCGAAACGCAGGTACTTCCGAGCATCGAAATCGCTGTCATAACAGTTTTCAAGACCGTCGATCTCTCTCGCGGCCATCGTCGAGCGTGCGTCGCCGGATTGTCTTCTCGTTTCCCGTTTCTTATGATCTCGTTCCGAATAACCGCAACGTCGAATCGTCAACTCGGGCAGCGCGTTCGTTCAGTAGAATGCGAGGGGTCGATTTCAGCGCGGGACGACATCGAGAAACCGCGAGGGCAAGCGAACGCGAACCTCTGAACGAGAAATAACGTGAAACCCGGGACGAAGATCGCGAGAATCCTCGCGAAGATTCTCCCTAGAAAAGGTGTTCCGCCTTGCCTCTGACGGCGATCGTGTTTTCTCTTCTTGCTCTCTTTGGCAAACCACGAAATCACGGGATCGCGAGACCGGTGCCCGAGATCGACCTCGCAATTTCCGATTACACCCTACCGTACCGTTTATTATGAAAAATATGTACAAAATCTGCGGCGACGATGCCCGAACGCGTGTCACGTTCGCGAACGATTTCCGCAGCAGCCTCGCATCCATTTTGTCATTTTACTTTCTCGTTCCTCGCCGACTAGCGACGCGCGCGCGCGCGCGCGGTTTCTTGGGGCAGAAAGGTCGGTGTGTGTCTTCCGTGTTCGTGTGCGTACGGATGCGTGTATGCGCGTGTCCTGTGTGTATGTACGAACGTGTGCGCGGGTGTCAAATAATCGGTTTGAAATCGAAATGGAGAATGCGGTATCGACGGCGGCTTCCTCTCTGTCCGGAGAAGCGCGTCCGAGTAACGGGAATAATATCAAAAATCTGGACACGATCGACTGTACGCCGCTGGAATCCGAGAGATCAGCGGACAGGCCGGATTACAGCCAACCGCTGCACCCTCTCGTCTCCCAGAGGCGCGTATGTATGCGCTTGTATGTGTGGGCTTGTATATCGTGTGCACGCGTGAGTATAATACAGTACTCGAAAATCCGACGAACGGTACGAGATCGTCGAGAACGCTTGGAAACTTATCGGAGCTGTAGCGAGCGGGTCGGAAACTGAAACTGGGCTCACGGATAGACAGACGGACAGACAGACAGATAGACAGAGACAGCGAATTGAAAAGTCGCTACTGAAAAGTTGCTCGCGAGTCGGCAACCGAGCACGCAGCCGTAACGATTCACCTGGATACTCGCGTAACCTGTCGCTTAAACCTTAGTACCCCATCCTTAACTGGCTATTCGATCAGCTATAATGTAATATCTCTAATTAATATTGCACGCACCGGCACACCGGGGGCCGCTAACGATCGCCGCTTCGCTGGAAAGCCGCGCTATAGCTGCCCCCTTTCGATAACGAATCAACTTAATTTATGCGTATGCACGGGCCTCGCGGGACAGATCCCGACGATCGTTGAACCAGCGAAATCGATACCTGCTCGCAAAAGTACTATGCTTTGACTAGAATCGATATATCGGCACATCCTTAATTTCACAGTCTTTTACGCTTCTTTCACGACGGAAATCGTTTAGCGTCGGTCTGCGTACACGTTTGCGGCGCGGTGCGCACGTTTGCAAGATCGCAGAGCACGAAGACAATAGTTCGGCTTCGGCTCGACTCCGATTCGAATAATATCGACGCGATACCACTCGGTGCCTGTTTTAGAACCGCCGCGGCCCGTTTCCGCGACAGAGAACGCCTGTTCTCTGACTCGAAGCAACCGGACAGGCGTCTTCTTTCGATGAACGGGCCAAGCACTCGCGAATCTCTCGACCGGCCAGGTACCGATTTCCTTGGAACTTGTGGGAAAGACCTCGTCGTTAACGACACGCGGATCTAGGGGATCTATCCCGCGGTTCAGCCCCGACGAAACAGAAAGGAATCGTAGCGAAGGTGTCCATCTCTCTCGACGAGCCCCGACGACTCACCGGACGAACTTTGGTTACCCCGTCTGTCCCTGGAACACGAGACGTTGGGCATCCTGTTTCCGAATTTGTTCACGTTGTTCCTTTCTCTTCCTTTCCTCCCCATCACTAACGACGACCGGACGCGACGGTCTCCGCGCGATCCGCGCGATCATTTCTCCGGGGGAACGCGCGCGGATCGCGCGGCTCCTTCTCCGCCGGCTTCGCACGCACGGTGTTCTTACATCAGCTACGCTTAACAACTAAGCTCGTAATTATTATCGTTAAGTCGGTGTACCTTTAAGTCGAGTATTACATGCTCTGTACGTAATCGGCTATCGTAATCGATTAAACGGCGCCCACGCGAACTCTCCGTGCCACCTGCTCGCCGCCGCGAAATAGACGCGTCGTCGAGCTGCAGCACTCTTCGGTGTTCATTGTCGCCGAGAAAGTTCACAAAAGATTGTTCCGTTTTCGTCTAGGATTGGGTCCTGGACCTCTCCTGCGGGTGATCACCGCTGTTTCGCCTCGGAAGCTGTCATCGACCCTGCTGGGACTCGTTTCTCTCGCTGTTTCCTCGATCCCCTCGGTCTTCGTAGGCCAACGCAGAAGCGGGCCATCTCGAGGATCATTCGAATCCCGTCTGACTTTTGTTCGCTCTCATGAATCCGCGGTGTGTATGATCTCTCTCTCTCATTCTCTCTCTCTTTTTCTCCCCATCTCTCTCTCTCTCTCTCTCTCTCTCTCTCTCTCTCTCTCTCTCTCTTTCTACGATCTATCCTCACGTCGCGCGCGTGTGTGTGCAATTTAGACAAAGCGAACGCAGACGAAAACATAGAACTGCCGCCATCCCACTAGTGTGAATGTTCATCGTTCTGCCGGCTTGCTACGGAAAACTCGGTACAAAATCATCTAAGCGAGCTAACTACGCCCCCTCCCCCACCCCCGCTCTCAGCACGGTGGTGTAAATGAATAGTCGTTTACAAAATAACATTGTCGCTTGATTTCGAGTACCGTCAATGTTTCAGCCCCCGTGTCTAAACCGTCGTCACGTACTCCCTCAGTTCGGTGGCCTGGCGGCCCAGGCCGTCCCGCTTCGCGTACCAGGGATCGTCGTATCTCGGCGCCTCCTCGCTGCGGGCCCTGTGGGGAGCGCGCGGACGGTCGCGGCCCCGCGCGCGCGGCACCTCCTCGCTCAACGATCTCTTCCCGATGCCGGCCGAGACCGGCACTTCGAGCAGCGCCTTCGACCGGGTCAGCTGCGGCCTCTGCCTCTTCGGCTCCTCGCTGGCCGCGCGAACGATCACCGTCGGCGGCGCGGGCCGCTCCTCCGGGTGCCGAAGCCCGGCCTCGGCCTGGGCCGGCGGCTGTGCGGGCATGCGGCCGCTCTCCGAGCGGGCCCTCGCGCCGAACGGCTTCTTCTTCGACAGGCCGCGGAGCTTCGAGATGCTCTTCCTCTGCTGCTGCGCCGGTTGCGGCTGCGGCGAGTACTGCTGTTGGGACCTCTGCCGCTTCACCGGTGACGCTGGAACCAGAGGCGACCAAATGGGTGTGGACAGTTCGACCGGCGTGGGTACCCGGGGCGGTGTTCTCTCCGGCGACTCATCCTTCCACCCACCTTGATATATTGGGAACGCGGACACCTGGTTCAGGATTCGCCAGCGGAAATCTTCGTCGTCGCTGCGGCAGGGCGTCGCCTCCGGCGGCGGGTGGTGCGTCGGCGTCACGTTGTGGAACGGCGACCAGGACTTGGTCTCCTCCGGCTCTGCCACCGCGAAGCTCGCGCCGCCGGCCCCGGCCTCGTCCTGAGGTGGCGAGCCTTCGTACGGCGTCCACTTGATCTCGCTGATGTGCTTCGCCGGCTCCCGCTTCTTCACGCCGATCGTCGGCAACGGCGAGTCGTTCTCGTACGGCGCCCATTTGGCCCCCGCGATCATGATCTCGGGCGAGATCAGCCGGCGCACGATCCTGTTGTCCAGCTTGCTGATCTGCCGCGGGTCCGGCTCCGGCGACATGCTCCTGCGGATGCTGTACTTCGGCCGTTCCTTCAGGCTCTTCGACTTGAAGCCTTCGCTCGATTCCTGGCTCCTCCAGCGGGACTTCTTCTCCTCGACCGGCAGCGAGAAGTGCGGCTTCAGCGCCCATCGCGGCCGCGGCTTCTTGCCCTCCTCCGGGCTGGCCACCTTCTCCTTCGCCCCCCATTTCCGCGACGCCTGGCTATCCACTCTCGCGTGCGACCGCTCCAGCTTCGGCCTGTCCCGCCGCACCAGCCTGGTGTCCTCGCTGGCGTGCTTCTTCAGCTCCGGCCTCTCCGCGGCGGGCGCCAGCGCGGCGCCGGCTGGCGCAGCGGCGACCGGCACCTCCGGAAGTGGTCGTTCGACGTTCAACGACGCCGAGTGGTACAGCTTCCTCTCCGGCTCCTTCAGCGTGACGGCAGCAACCGGAGGAGGCTTCTCCGACTCCTTCTGCTCCAGCTCTTCCAGCAGCTCCGACACGGGCGGCGGCGGTGGCAGAGTCAAGACCGGCGCCGGTTTCGGGGAAGGAGTCTTGACCTTGGTCGGAACCGGCGCCGGGACCGGGACCGGGGCTGGGACCGGGGCCGGGGCCGGTGGAGAAGGCGACAGGATCTTCGATTTCGGACAGGTGCACCTGGGCTTCGGGTTCGGGAGCACCTCCGGCACCTGGAGGAACCGGGCCTCCCTGGCCATTCTGGTGTCGTCGCTGCTGTGCTTTCGCAGGTCGTGCATAGGCGGCTGCAGATAGTCGACCTTCACCGACCACTTGTCCGTCTCCGCACTATGGTGCTTCCTGAGGTCGCCCCGCTGGATGTCGTGCGGCTTCTTCTCCTCCGGCGTGAGGCTGTGGTAGCTGCATTTGGTCTTCTTGGCCAGGTCGAGGTCGGTGTTCGACGTGTGTAGCTCCCAGCGGAACTCGGTGCCCTCGGCGGTCCGCTTCTTCAGGTCCCAGATCGCTTCGTCCGGCGACAGGAAGCTGCTGTCCCCCCATCTGGTGTCGGTGCTCCGGTACTTTCTCAGGTCGCCGCGTTCCCTCTCGGCGGCGCGGGGCGCCTCAGCGACGTCGCAGCTGCAGGTCCTCTGGGTGGGCGTCCTCTGCGACTCGAGCGGCGCCGGCTCGATCGCGTCCAAATCCTCGATCGTGTACGAGATCTCTATCCGACGCTTCTGGCCGCAGGACGGACACCTGCCGGCCGGCGGCTCGCCTTCGTCGCGGCTAGATCGATGGTGATGGGGATGGTGGTGATGATGATGGTGCGGCGGCTGCTGCTGTTGCTGCTGCTGCTGCGTCTGCGGCTGCTGCTGCTGTTGCTGCTGCTGAGACTGCTGTCGTTGCAACGTCGAGGTCGAGGTCGATGCGGTGGGGTCAAGCTGCGAGGGCAGGTCCTCCTCGTCGTGACGGCCGTCGTCAGAGTGTCGTGACGTCGCAGCTGTGCCTGTCGATGCGCACCAGCAGGTATGTGCTCCGTCAAGCCGCCTTGGTGGGTACCGCGACTCCGGAGACGACGAGGCTCCGCTCGAGGCCGCTACCAGGCACACTACTTCGGCCTCCGGTACCGCAGGCCTAATCAAACGCATCGTTCGTCGATTAGGAGACTGTGGATCTTTATGTGAAAGGAAGATCGTTCGCGTCGACCGCAAGAAATCGAAACCAAATGGAAACTTCTCTCTTTCCTAGACGAGCTTAACGAGCGAAATTTAACATATTGACGTTCGTAAATACTTTTCCCCTCCATAAACGAGCTTAATGAGCGAAAATTAACACATTCGCGTTCGTAAATACTGTTAATCTGTTTGCTGCTTCAAATGACATGTTCATATTTCTGTCATAAATGCATAAAATCTATCAATTAATAAGCTTCGAGCTGTCGTTGATCCGCGTTATTATCGATTACTGCCGCTGAATTCGGCAAACGGTTGCAGGACAGAGCTCTGTAACGCTTTGCCCAATGGTCTCGACTACCATAAACGTAAAGGCAAACCGTACCTTCAGCTCGGTGAAGATTTCGGTGAAGAATCCAGGTTCGCTGTTGATTCGCAGCATCTTGGCGCTGAGTCGGTTCACGATCAGCAAGCACCTGTCCCAGAATTTCTCCTTACGGTCCTCGACGAGGAACGGCTTCATCGGGTAGCTGATCTCGTTGCCCATGTAGCAGTAGCTCAGGTACAGGCACGTCAACACGGTCGCCTGAAGCTCTCTTTCGGAGGCCTCGTCGCCGTCGACCAGCTCTCTCACCAGCATATAGACGAACACAACGGTGGCAGGATTCATGAAACCGACATCCTGTTGAAACAGGTTTTCAAGTTATTAGTATAATACGAAAAATCTAGATCTCTTTAGAAACAGCTAACAATTAAAGTCAATTTCGTCGAGAAGTTTGATCGCACCTTTAGAACACGTGTCGGAACGGACCCGTTGCAAGGTTCGCCCAGATATAATATTTCAAGCATCCATAAATAAGTGGATCGATACGCATTAAGTAATTATCAACAGACTACGGATCTGTTTACAAAACATACATTGTCGACTCCGATTACGAAAACGAGAGGTTCAACGAAAATGCATCTCCTTCCTTTTTCACACCGAACCTATTAAAAGCGAGCTAACGTCTGTCCTATTATAGGAACAACAAGACTGAATTTAAATAGACGCCTCACCATTTTGATCACAACTGACGCTCGAGTCAACAAAATTATCGACTAACTTCCCACGAAAGAGTTCTCGTGACACTGCATCAGTTTTAAAATAAATCGCGCGAAAGCGGTGATTTCGATTAACGCGGTAGGTCTTGCGTTAATAATTCCGACGCCTTCACAGTCGAATTATCAATGTTCAATTATCGATGTTCCTCTAAGACTGATAAAAGTCCCGAAGCTTTCATTCCGAATCTGGAGAACGCTTTCAACACCCTGGACCAGGGTATAACCTCTTACTTATTATACTTCGAAGGCTGGCAGAACAAGTACTACTCCGGTCGAATATAAAATTGAATTCCTCGATGCGAGGCTGGCGGACAGGCATTCGATGCATTTCTATTATGTAGGAGGGGTCGCGTGCAGTTTCCTCGGGCCGGGCCAGGCGCGTTCAGGTGAATCGAGGTGCTTCTTCTTGTCTAACAGCTCCAACAGGAGACGATACTCGACGAGGGATGATTCACGCGTGGTGTCGCGTTACGTGCCACGCTTGCGAAATTGGAATCGGCATTGTCGGCCGCGGTCGATGCATCGATTGCGACGGGTCTTCTTTTCATTGGAAACCCCCGCGATATCCCTCTCGCTCCTCTCACTCTTTCTCTTTCGCTTTTTCTCTCTTTCGCTCTCTCTCTCTCTCTCTCTCTCTCTCTCTCTCTCTCTCTCTCTCTCTCTNATTTCGTCGAGAAGTTTGATCGCACCTTTAGAACACGTGTCGGAACGGACCCGTTGCAAGGTTCGCCCAGATATAATATTTCAAGCATCCATAAATAAGTGGATCGATACGCATTAAGTAATTATCAACAGACTACGGATCTGTTTACAAAACATACATTGTCGACTCCGATTACGAAAACGAGAGGTTCAACGAAAATGCATCTCCTTCCTTTTTCACACCGAACCTATTAAAAGCGAGCTAACGTCTGTCCTATTATAGGAACAACAAGACTGAATTTAAATAGACGCCTCACCATTTTGATCACAACTGACGCTCGAGTCAACAAAATTATCGACTAACTTCCCACGAAAGAGTTCTCGTGACACTGCATCAGTTTTAAAATAAATCGCGCGAAAGCGGTGATTTCGATTAACGCGGTAGGTCTTGCGTTAATAATTCCGACGCCTTCACAGTCGAATTATCAATGTTCAATTATCGATGTTCCTCTAAGACTGATAAAAGTCCCGAAGCTTTCATTCCGAATCTGGAGAACGCTTTCAACACCCTGGACCAGGGTATAACCTCTTACTTATTATACTTCGAAGGCTGGCAGAACAAGTACTACTCCGGTCGAATATAAAATTGAATTCCTCGATGCGAGGCTGGCGGACAGGCATTCGATGCATTTCTATTATGTAGGAGGGGTCGCGTGCAGTTTCCTCGGGCCGGGCCAGGCGCGTTCAGGTGAATCGAGGTGCTTCTTCTTGTCTAACAGCTCCAACAGGAGACGATACTCGACGAGGGATGATTCACGCGTGGTGTCGCGTTACGTGCCACGCTTGCGAAATTGGAATCGGCATTGTCGGCCGCGGTCGATGCATCGATTGCGACGGGTCTTCTTTTCATTGGAAACCCCCGCGATATCCCTCTCGCTCCTCTCACTCTTTCTCTTTCGCTTTTTCTCTCTTTCGCTCTCTCTCTCTCTCTCTCTCTCTCTCTCTCTCTCTCTCTCTCTCTCTCTCTGACGTCCTTTCATTGCCGCGGTCGAATTCACACGCCGCGAAAACCGGGAAATTTCTATCTCCGCTCGACACCCGTGCTGTATCGCGTGGGTGCTCGCGTCATGCCAAGCTCGGACAAAAGCGCGTGTCCTCGAGAAGTCCGGCCGACGAGTAATCGACGGAGAGGCTTCCAGGTTTACACGGTGAACGCGAATCGAAGAGAAATACTGACGTTCGTTTCACCCGGGACCGACGATACGGATGCGGATCTGTGCTATTTTCGGCAGCCCGCCTTCTCATTGTGTCGTTTTTCATCTCTATGGAACATTTTCAATATACTATACCCTTATTCTATTTGCACAGTTTTTATGCTCCAATATCTTCGCTACGCTCGTAGCTTTGTTTCTTCTGTTCGTAGATCCAACTTCATATTCTTGCCGTTCGAGTACCAAAGAAAAGATCGAATTTATAAATAATTTATTAAACAGATTTCTGCATTAAAAAGATACATATATTTTTAATGCAGAAATGTGTTTAATAAATTAATAATACAATATATATATATTGTTATTTGTCACTGAATTATATGTATTTAATCCGTGATAAATTAATTTTCTTATTTTAATTAATTTCCACAATTTCTCAATTCATTTTCCCGTTTTACTTTATTCTTACAGATCCCCGATTCATTTTCTTACTTCATCTTTCTCTCACGTAAAGGACAAAGCACTCTAGACGAATGTAACACTGAACCTACCGGACCATAAAAGCAGTTAAATATAGCTTTATAACGACGCGAGAAGAGCATATTTATTTAGATCAGCCGCCATTTTTATTATAATGTACGCTTGTGCGATGAAATTTATTCAGTCGCTTTCTATGAAAGAATCTTCACAATTTCCGAGACATTAAAAGAAAAAATCTGAAAGCGGTCATTTTGACCGGCTCGTTAGGTTCAGTGCTGAAATCAGGACGAGTTTGAGGCCGGGCATTATAAGAAAACCGTGGCCCGAGAGCATCACAAAAGGGTCTCGAAAAGGGTGTCGGCCGATTCCCGTTCGAACCACCTGTCCTCCTCCTCCTCCTCCTCCTCCTCGCTTGTCCGGTCTCCTTGCTCCAGAAACCGAGTCCTCCGAGCCATTAGCGAATTAGGACACGATCTAACCCGAAGAACCCAGCAGGGAAGTGCATCGGCATGTTCCGCGCAGATACACGTGCAGCCTGTCGGCCAGCTTTAACGCGAGCACAAAGGACCTCGACGCAGCGCTCGTGCGGCCGCATCCGTTCCCCGCTGCGTTTCACCTACTTAATCCCGCGTGCACCCACGATTCGCACGTGCACGGCCCGCCGTTCGACCCTCCCCTATTCGATTACGCGCGCAGGTTGCTCGGCCACCGATTCCACCGGGTCGCGTGTTCTTCGAGGTCCCGGATCGAGTTCGCGAGCAACCAATTTCACTTGGAACACCTGTGCCTCCGGCACGGCCAACCGAGGCGTTGGATTAGCAACCTCGAATAATCCTAGAAAATCGGAACGATTTTCTGTCGTCGAGGGCGCGGTCGTTGGCAACGAAGGGTCAAAGTTTCCGAGTCTCTTTCGGATACGGCGCGAGAGAAGTACGCGGCCAGGCCTCTGGCAGAGCCGGAACGTTAATATTGCAAAGCTGTTGCATTTGAAACGACGCCGCGTCGACGCCAATGGATGACGCACTTAACCCTTTGCGCTGGCAACCGGGCACTCAGCCTGCATTACTGCGTTTCTTCCGACCTTTTAGCCGAGTGACTTTTCAATTATGGACGCCTACGAAGACGCAACGCGAGACAAACAATCTCGACTCCGTTGGCGAGCCTGTAGGAGGAGAAAAAGACGAGATATAATTAAAATTCTCTTCTCTTCCCTTTTTTCTTATTTTTTTTTAATTTGCTACTTGCGCGACATAATGCAGGGACTTGTTGATCAAATAAATATTATTATTATTATTATGAGAATAGAATCGTACGCGTCGCTTCGCAAATCATGAAGCGGCTTTTAGAGAACGCTGTCCCAACAGGAGCAAAGAAATTCGTGTGAATCGGCACGGGGATTAAGGATTCGTCGGAATCGGAACGGACAAACGGCCAAAAAGAAGCAGAATCGACTCGCGGGCTCGGGGAGAACGGGTTCCGCGTCGAACGCTGGGACTTTGATCCGTCAAGCGATCTCTCCTCGCCGGCCGAAACGACGTCCAATTACAACGAATGCTTTTGTGATAATTAAAACGCACGGTGTTTGATCACAGGCGAGCCTTTTCCCGACCGCGAACGGTTCGAGCATGAAGGGGACGGGGGTGTTACAGAGGGGCTACCGGTGGCGGTTTCTTGCACATGTGGGTGCATTAACGGTGAGGCCCCGCAATGACCCGGGAGGATCGATGCTCCCGATACGTTTTCTAGCCTGCCAGGAATTTTGCCAGTCGCCTGCCTGATTGTTGCACCGGCGTGCACGCGCGCGTCCTCCCTCTCGTTAACCGACGCCTCTCCTCTTCTTCTTCTTCTTTTTTTTCACGCGCATTACACGGTGTAAAGCGTTCACACGCATGAACGCGCCGCGATCCAGCCGGAACGCGTCCAGGAATACATCTAGGGACGTCGACACTTGGAGGCGTTGGAACCGATAAAGAACCGATCGAAGAGGAGGGAAACCGAATCGACGGGAAACAGAGAATTTCGGCGGGTCCGAATCCCCTTTCTTCGCGTCCGATCGGGTCCTCGATCATCTTGGCTGTCAAGCATTTTGTTAAAATTAGGCATCGAGAGAGTCGCGGAATAATCAGCCCTTTGAAGGCGAAAGGCTATATACGCCCTCGTAGGGCTATTAATACGTGCCAAAGGCTTATATAAAGGCTAAAGAATATTTGATCGGCGCGCACCCTTTTATCGAGCCGAGTCCTTTAAC